TTGGATGAATCAGCAGTCTTGATGAGGGTGTCACCCTCATGCATTGTAAGGAGTATCCACACATATTGCTGGACTCTTGTACTGTAAATCCACAAGAAAACTGAATATAGCTTCAATTTTAAAAGCAGTGTAGAACACATAAAACCATGAAAAATTCAAGGTAGCCTGAGCAAGTGTTTGTACCAGATAACACACAATGGGAAATAACATATCACGTGAATTCTCAAAGACACTCTTAAGTGAAACTACAATGATGATATGGTGGTGTAGTTTATGAGCTCCTTCTTGGATCTGTAACAAGGAAACATACTTTGAAAGCTAAGATTGTGTGTGAGGACTAGGGAGATTTATGAGCCAATAATGTTTCTGATGGACTTGCCATGTGATCCTAATCAAGCCATTCTGCATTCTTATGGTAGTAAAGCTTATCTACACATGTGTTCATAAATGCCTATTTTTATTGTAAGCATTTTAGGACAGAGTCTGGTTTTTACTACAAAGCTATACATCACCCAGCATAGTAACAGGCCGGCGGTGCTACTTTCATATGATTAATGATTATAAGCACCAAAGTGAGATGATTTTGCCATTTTTGTCCAAGATGGAAGTAATTTACAGCCTGGATGATAGTGAAAAACAGACCCTGCAGATGCCTGGCTGCAATATCATCAGCCTGTGAGTTTCACACAATTATTATTATTAGAAAAACTATCCATTGTAATCGTAGCTCAATGGGAAATATGTTATGAAGGCTAATGGCCAGATGTGATGGGAAGATAATTTTGAAATATTAGGAAGTAAGTTTTACCACTCCTATTTAATGTTATCTAAGAAACCTACTCTCTGATCTCGCTTCAAGTTACACTGATGTTATCTAGTGTGGAAAACAATCTTCAGATAGCTGTGCTGATAATGGGGCTGAACATTATTTAATTTTAAACATAACTCTTATCCATTTTTAAATTATAGTGGTAGTCTTCAAATAATGAGACATCTTTAATAACAGCAAAATGCCTGTAATGTGCAGTGAGTGTTAGCACCTTCTGTGGTGAAGTTCAAGGTAGTACCAATCCTGACGACTGGACACTGCTTGCTTGATGTTTCCAAACTTACATCCCATAGGCATATGTTAATAATGGACAATTCTCAAAAGAACAAGCACACAATCTTAATTTCCTAACACATCCCTCAGGGAAAGGCTCAGAGCAGGTTTACAAAAGCAAAATCTCTTGTGAATCTTTTTTTATTTCGAGATTCAACTGAAACCAGGAGGAGTTGACAGCATGATTGAGAGGCACACATATGAGCTTATAAATAGAGGCCTGAAAAGATGATTTGATTTCCATTCTCTGGAATGTTACAGCTATTCAGAGATATTGCAAAGTAATCTCTGGTAAATTGCCAATGATTGAAGTAAATGGTAACTCACTGAATAGAGCCTTCTGGTCCTTACTAGTCTGAAACTCGCTACAAAAGTTCTGAATAAGGGATGAAGGACTTTTTCTTTTGTTGTAAGTGATTCCTGATTTCCTTCTAGAATAGGGGCGTGACAACAAAGTCTTCCATCTCCAAATATTTCTTGTGTCATTAAATAACACTGATGGAGCAAACAAGGCTTTTCATCCTGAGTAATTTTTTAACGTGTTTTTACTTCAGTGTCCCAATATGACTTATGCCACAAGTCTTTTTTAATGGCAAGGGACTCTTGCTCAAGCACTTTTTCATATTTTTCCAGTTTTCCAGTGGTGTACCTGCCATAGCAGATGTTGTGACTTCTTCTTAATACTTGTTTCAGGTATCGTAATCTCTTTTGTGAACAACTGAATGTTGAACACTTCTGTAAGCTTCAGCATTCATTATAAATTGGTTTCATTTGAAATATGGTCCTTCCCAATAACATTTATTTGCAGAAGGTTTTAGACATCTGTCTGTAAGACTAAACTACAAATCTTGAAATTGAATCTTACTGGGAATGAGCTCTACAATTTTTTTTTTTTTACATAATACTAGTGGAGTATGGCTTCAGTTCTTCTCCCCTTCCTTTTTTCCATGTCTTTCACTGGTCAGAGTTCTTACTTTTTTTCCCCCCTAAGCTTTTCCTGCATGTAGAGTGCTAAGGGGAGTCTAAATAGGCTTTTAATGCTGTTCTGTCTTCATATGACACTTGAACCAACAACAGAGATAAAAAATGGGAACAAGTAAATTCTTGGATTAGTGAAATTACTCTAAATCCCTTCCTACAGTAATTCATCTTTCATTGTAAAATCACATTTAAATCTCTAAGTATGTGTGATGTATTAATCCTATGTTAACATGTTCTCTGCACTAAAAAAAAAATCCAATCAAAGCTACCGAGCAAACCTTGTAACTTATGATTGATTTATTTATATTGTCAGTACTAAAATTGATGATGGGGCTTACATGGGAGCTACAGAGCTGTAAGCTGAGTCAAAATAACCAGCCACACCTTCTGAGAGGAACAAGGCAACTAAGAAACCTGAAAATAAAACCATCTGTGAAAAACAACCCAGGGAGCAAACATCCAAAATGAAGCGTGTCTTTCCGTGTTCCCTACCATGCTAACATAATGGGAATGAAGCACTACAAATGTTCAAAGCAGTGAGCAGGGATTTTTAACTACATCAATCCCTCTACAGGAGTAGTCCCTCCAGCATCATAAAGAGGGCTCTCTGGGTATGGCTCACAGGAATGAGATCACAACACTAAAATAAAGAGGAAAAAAAGGACACAGCTGTGGTATAAATATTTAGCAAATGTAAAAAAAATAGCTTTTAAATTGAGTACTTTCTGTTGCTTCGAGCAGATCTGGGTGAGCACCCAGGAAAATCAATTTGCTCGCATAACAGCCAAGTTTATTTTACTTTTTTAAAGTCATCAGTGTTCATGAGAGGAGGAGTGCTGGTTTGAATCATGGCATGTTGCAAGCAGATGTTATGCAAGCTTCCTCAAACATCCCTGCCAATGACTGCAATCCTGAGTTATGACATTCACCGTAACTGCTGCAGTCTGGGCCCTTTTTTGGGCCACTCATCTGTTGGTTTTCCCAAACTGGGGATGATATTTTTGTGATGAATACAAAAACTTGAAGAAGAGCAACAAACTTTTTGTTTCCAGGCCAAGAGAATTTGAGAACCATGTCTGAGTTTCATGGCCTATCAGTAATACCGGATAGAAATGGAAAAGTACATTATTTGTTGTTATATATATAATTGAGATACTCTTATCAAACATATCTCCTGGTTCATTCCTACCCCGTGAATGGTAAGGAGCAGTCTTTTGTGGTTCCTTCTGTTCCTTCTTTTGGAGGATGAAAGGAGGTGATTTCCAAACACCATTTTCAAAAACCCTTGTAGGTTTTTAATTATTTTGTCCTTTAGCCCATGAGTGTATGAAATTACTACATCCTTTTATATCCTTTAAACAAATAAATGAAGAAATAAAGGATATGAAACCTACCAAAACCAATCTCTTAGAGCAGAATCACTTTACTTTTTAAAGATGCTGCAGATTCTGGGACAGGAGATGAAGTACTGTTGCTAATACAGATTAAAAGCTTTTAAATAGAGAATGTCAGATGAGAGTTCCTACTCTGAAATGCACTGTATTTTGGAGTGTCTCATAAAAATGAAAATTTGTTGCTATTCAAAGTAGGACTCTTTTTTTCTTGGATATTTAAATAGCCCATTTTCTTATTATATGTCCTGATGTCATTGTTGCATATTTTCTGTTTTTAATTATGTGCTCTGCCATACTTTTTTCAGACTGTAATCTTGGAAAGAAAGATATGAGACTATGTAGGTAAAGCAGGATAGTAGTTTCTACATTTATTGTTCTTTACTTAAAACATTACTGCACTTTCCATCTTTAAACAATAAAAACTCTTTGATAAAGCTTGCTTGAGCCTAACAGTCAGATCCACGTGACCACTAATTTAATTATACTCTTCTTTTTTTGTTAAAGAGGCAGGAAGCACTGAAATGACTTGCCCAGCTGTGTCAGACAAGTCAGTGTGAAAATTAAAAGGTTGAGACTTTGTTACCTGCAGCTGCGTGCTTGTATTACTCGGCGAGTTTTCTTTTACAAAGCTCTGGGTTTCGGGGCTTGTGTGTAGGCACAGGGATAAGTTCAATAAGGGGCAACAAGTGGTGAGAGAGGATTCTTGCTGTACATCGTCAAGAAGGGATTGGGTTCGTGAATAGTCAGAAGTGTTTGTGAATAGTCTCAAAAGCATTTAGGCATCCGATGTTGGGTAATACATTGTATTCTTCATCCCTCTGAAATTTGGTTATCGGATCTGTAATAAGGAAAGTGAGAGAAAAATGAGCTTTCCAAGGACCGAGCAACAAACATCAAACGCAGGCTGAAGCAACCGGGCACAACACGGGAGATATCATCGGTGACTGGTGCGGCGGGAGAAGCAAGGGCACAGTCAGGATAGCCTGGCTATCAAGGGTATTCCTTAATAGCGAGGCTCGTCAGGCTGTGATACAGTTTCCCACGGAAAATTACGGAGATCCCATCCTTGGGAGACGTGTCAGCCCAAGCTGTCCTGTCAGCGCCTGGACAGAGCCTCCCTGGGCGGGCAGAGCCGGCGGCCGAGCACCTTCTGGGCTGCCAGCGCTGCCCTTCACCCCCCGCGACCTCGGGCGGCCGCTCCCCCCCCGCCCTTGAACTCCCCATCCCTCGGCTCAGCCCTCAGGGGGCGGCGGCGGATCCCGGGTCACGCCGGGACAGGCCCGTCCAGCGGCTCGCCAAGCGCCGGGAAGCGCACTCTGGGGCTCTGTGGGCGCTCGGACCCCGTCACAGAGCCAGAGGCAGAGCCAGAACCGGTGCCAGAGCCGGTGCCGAAGCTTCTCCCGCGGGACCCGCGGCCGCCACCGCCTCCCGGGGCCGGGCCGGGCCCATAGAGCGCGCGGCGTCGGGATAGAACGGCCGCGCCGGAGCCGCAGCGCCCCCCGGCGGCCGCTGGCGGGGGCGGCGCGGAGCGGGCAGAGAAAGGGAGCGGGGACAGTAATGGCGGCCAGTTAGAGCCGGGCTGAGCCCGAGAGGCGGCGGCGACAGCGGCGGGAGGAGCCGGCGCGGCTCCGGCTGCGTCTCTGCCCGGCGGAGCGGCTTCCCCGGAGGGCTTTTCTTCCTTCCTCCCTCCTCCCCCCTTTCCCCCTCTCCCTCCCCTTCCCCTCCCTACCCGAGCCCCCGCCTGTCCGCCCTCCCTCCCTCCCTCCTCCCTCCGCGCCGGCGGCGGCGGCGCCCCCCGTGTCCCCCCTCGCCGGGGCCATGGTGAACACCAGGAAGAGCTCCCTGCGCCCCCTGGGCAAAGCGGCGGCCGCGGCGGCCGGGGCCGGCAGCCATTTCATCTCGTCCCGCACCCGCTCTTCCAAGAGGGGCACCAAGGCAGATGCGGCCGGGCTGGAGGAGGCGGCGGCAGCGCGGGTGAGCACCGGGGGGCTCACGGGCAGGGACGGCGGCGGGAGGGCAGCGGCGAGGCCGGGGAGTCGCTGGGGACAGCGCCGCTGGTGCCGGGGGGGCCGCGGGCAGCGGGGCCGGCGGGGGGCGGTTGCCCAGACAGGCTGTCGGGGGGACGGCGGGCAGCCCGCCGTGAGAAGGCACCGCGGAGCCGGCGGGGACGCGGGGGCGGCTGCGGTGGAGCCGCAGTCCCAGCGGGGTCAGCGGTGGGGCGACGGGGGCCGCTGACAGGGGCGGGGGGCGGCGGGGACACGGTCGGCGGAGCTGCCGCGGTGCCAGTGCCGGGCCGGTGCCCAGCGGGCGGGGGTTCCGGGGGTCCGGCGGGGTCCGGCGGCGCGGGGCTCCCCCTGCGGCCGCGCCCGGCGCTGCCGCCGCCAGACAAAAGTTGGGAGCTGCGCCCGCAGCAACTTCGCAATAATCCTCGGCCCGGGTTTGTGTGGTGGTGGTGGTGTTGTGTTTTTTTTTTTTTTTTTCCTTTTCCCTAAATGACCTCGATTCGGCCGGCGGCTGCGCCGGGAGGAAGCCGGTATTAGGGAAAGCAGCCCCCCCACACATCCCCTCACGCCCGCCCCGTTTTTGTGGCACGGAGGGTGCGACTTTGCCGTCAAGTTTAAGTTGAATGCTTTCCCAGCCGAATTTACTGTGGTAGCTTTGGTTGGAAGGACTGAATGGCAAGTGGAATTCTACAGCCCGATTTGGAGAACTTAACATTTGGTGAATTCTAACTGGAAGAAAGAATTCGGGAGACTTCTTCCTTGTCTCTAGGCGGCTTTGTTGACAAGAACTGCGGTTGGTTTTTTTTTTTTTTTTTAATGGGCACGGAATTAATTAGGTTGGAAAAGACCTCTAAGATTATCGAGTCCAACCTTTGACCGAACACCACCTTGCCAGCTGGACCGTGGCTCTAAATGCCGCGTTCAGTCCTTAAACACCTCCAGGACCGTGAGTCCACCACTTCCCCGGGCAGCCCGTTCCAATGTCTAATCACCCTTTCTGGGAAGAAATTCCTCCTATAGGAGGAAGTATAGGCAGGACTTTATCTTCACTTGATGGAACTTCGTGTGTTGCCTTGAAGGTTTACACTGGTAGTTATAGCTGCCTGCTCTGCATGTATATTAGAAAAACAATGTAAATATGGAAGTGAAAATTGAGGGTCAGAGGGACAGTCCTGCATCAACTGGACACATCCCAGCCCTGCTAAGGAGGAAGTTAATCAGACAAGCAGAAAAACAGCAATAATAGCCAGAGGCAGATCAGAAGGATGACAAGGATGACACCTGGAATTCTCACAAAACCTTTTGCTCCATTTTTTTGGTCTTAAAATACTAAAAATACCTCAGATTACTGACTAGATACTCCATACCTTCTGTGCTTCTCTTTCAGTTCTTTCATGCTTCACAGTTCATCCCTTCCCCCATCTTACTTTTTCCTGTTCCCCATTTCTTCCTTGTTTAATTTCAGTAGACTCCTGGGGATGCAGCACCATAGCTGTAAAAAGCTGTTCTGCTTGTTCTAGTGTGCAGTTTCTGTTTATTCATATCGTGGGGCTTGTGGTTTGTGAAGCAAAGTTTGGTATAACCCTTACTGGCTTACTTTGCAGGGAGTTTGCTACTGCTAAAAAAAAGTAGCTTGGGCTTCTTTCCAAATATTTTTAATGTGTGAATAGTATTTCCACACGATGAATCATTAAAATGTTTAAATTGTTATTTTCATGGTGTAAGGGAAGGAGATGGTACAAAATAACGTCAAATATTGTAAATACTTCCCAGGATATTGCCCGTGCTTCTAAAAGAGCATTTCTTCTAAAGTTAAATGTAAATTTTGGTGTATGGGAATAGACTTGTTCCACTTTGCAACAAATCTCATGCGTTTGAGGTAGAATTTTTTTCTTTTCTTTAAGATGTAATTGCCAAGTATGAGCAGAAGTTATCCAAGAAGGGTGTTTTGTAAAATATATATCTCTCACTGTATTTTCAAGTTGTCTTTGTACAACTCTTTTTATTCTTCAGATGGAAGTACTGTCAGCAATGCAACGTCTTTCTGAGCTTCTGAATCTTCTTGAAGTAGTGCCAGAGAAGGATCTCAGTGATTAGGACATGAATAACTGTAGCAGTAGGGAGACAAAGCCTTTGCTTTTGGAAGCGACTGTCGGCAGGCAGATAGTGAGGCTGTGTTCTGTGCAGAAGGCGTGCTGGGATCGTCTTTATGCAGTTGTATGTTGGTTTTTTTTTGTTTTTTTTTTTTTTTTTTTGCAGTTGACTGGAACAGTGTGTTCATTTTAAATCTTTTGGGTGTCATGTCAGGAGACCCAGCCTTACCACCAGCAGTTAATCGGGTTAATGGGCAGCTCGAGTTTGGAGCTTTGGCAGGGATGGGATGCTTCTTATTTGCACTGCTTGACTTAATTTTCTTCTATGGAGGTTCTGACTTGGACTCCCAGAGAAATGGTCTTCAATGGCAATGGTTGTGGCTCACCTTTCAGAATGTATTTTGAAAGATCATCTCTCTCTTCCCTATTGGCAACAAAAACCAAGTTAGTAACCTAATGGCATCCTCTATGATGCTAAGTAGACCAGACGGGGAGTTAGGTGTTGCCTTCCACCTCTTTTGTATCTATTTTCAATTTTCTTCTCCTTTTTTTCCTCTTGGCTACTTCTGGTATACGTAGGATTGTGGCTTTTTGGTTTTTGGTTTTGGTTTTTTCCTTGTACATTTACAAGAATAGGCTTGAATCTCTCCTTTCCCAAGAACTGGAGTTAAGTTTCTAGTCTTCTGCTTCAATATTATGCTGAATTACATATGACCAGTGGTTTTTTTTTTATTTGTTCTGAGTTTGGAAGCAACACACATTCTGTGGAAATGGGCTGTAATAGTCCAAATGCCCTTATCATGTTCAGTGTATTCCCTCTGTAGTACTTGCTCAGCCCAGAGAAAGCAATGACGTCAGGCTTTGAAAAGTAAACTGGTTTGAATTATTGATTGGCGACCACGCAGTCAGCGATGAAGATGAATACATGTGTGTCTGTCTCCTGACCAGAAGCCAGATTAAAATGAACAAAATCCCTCACTAAATGGATCAAGGAGCCAAGAAGTTTATTGTCTGAGATGATGTCATAGCAGAGTGCATGGAGAGGGTACAGAGGGGAAAAACTGGCCTTTGTTTTCTTCCTGCATCTAGGACTGATTTACACACTGTTTAGTAGAAATTGAAGTTATGGTTACATAAATTTATGTTCAGTCTTTATACAGATGATACGTATTTTTTTCTTTCTAGCCTTAAAACTTGGAAAGTGTTCTGGCTTTATATTAAAGCATTCTGACAAGAAAAGTGCATCAAAATGTTCTAAAGTTTTCAGAAACAGAATTGTAACACAAGGTTTGTAAATCTAGTGGAATTCATTCACACTGTGAAAAAATTGAGGATACTTTGACCATAAGTGGTTAAATTTGTGATTTATATCTACTAATGTCTGATGTTTTCAGATACTGAGTTGTGATTGCTGGTAACATTTACTTGGCAATTGAAATGATTTTTCTCAGTCATCTTGAAACACAAATCAAAAATGTTGATCAAGAAAACTTAACGAATTTACTGTGAAATAAACACTCTTAAATCATGTCAGGGTACTAGTTAGACATTTTGGAAATGTATACAAGATTAGCTTAATTTAATTAGCCAAGAAAGCATTAGCAGTGCCTTAAGAGCTACTTGAGGGCACGGTGATAATTGTAACACATGATCCTCGCTAAAAGTAGTGCTGCCAACATCGTTCAACTTGCTCAGTGGCAACGTAGAGCTCTCCATTGTGCTTAATTGCTAATGGGAGCAAACAGGGGCTGGAGGATTGACATCGGGTGCTGCAGTGTGGGAAGGTAGAAAGCTAAGCAGTGTATTTGTGCTCTGTGATGCCAGTACATCTCAGTGTCTCTTGTTGTAATTCCTCAGTCTGTAGCAATAGAAATGTTTTCTGATTTCTGGGTGGTAACATAGGTTTTGTAGCATAAACTCGTTGCTGTGTTTTACTCCTTGAAAGGCCTTTAATGGTCAGTTGTTGAAAACATAGAAAAATAGCTTAAAGAAAATACTGTTAATTCTCTTAAAATACAAGTTTCAAATATAACCCATAGAGCTTTCTAAAAATTTAATTTTCCTTTATGGAAGAGCCTGATTTGGATTAACAAGTTTTCTTTTTTGTCTATGCAAAGTGTCTGGTGGTGTTCTGGATGCTCTGCTGTTTCGAGTAAAACTGTAAAGAAAGCTAGATTTTCCTCCTTTGCTGGATAAATGACACTTGCTGTCCACCTGCATGTAAAGCTCTTACAGGGAAAAAAGCTTCTCTCCGATATCTATGTTTTAAAGAATGGAACTGCCTTCCTGTTTGAGTTTACAGTACCATCAGTAAAGGTGCTGAGGTTAATGCTTTTACAGTTCTTTGAAATACATCCTGAAATAAGAGAGTCTTGTGAAGTTATTCCAAACAATTTAATTTAAAGGAAGAGTCCCAGGAAAGCTCATATTTTCGGTGTGTAATAAAATATCAGGTTCTTTCTGGTTTAGTGGTCTGCTGCTCTTTTGGGACTTAGCAGGGAAAAATCAGTGATCTAAAACGAATTGTGCAGGCTGTTCCTTGGTAGCGTGGTGTTAATACAGCTGTGAGCAGTGGGAAATGGAGCAATTGTCGGAAGCAATCTGTGTTCAGGGTTCTATCAGAATACCATACAGCTGGTATTTGTAATCCTTTCACGTTTCTAAGGGGGTGTCCTGAGCTTGAATTCTTCCTATGTGTCCTGCCAAATCAGTCTGGGCCCCTGTCAGGGGGTCACCTCCAAAGTGACACAGTCAGGGCACCTCCAAAGTGTCCATGGCTTGTTTTGGGAGGCAGGGGTGCATCCTGGAGGAAGCTGGTTATCCTTGGTGTCACACTGTTCCAGGGCCTTCAAAGGAAGCAATATAAAGACTAATCCAG